CACGTGAATGAAACTTTGTGTGACGGTAGAGGGAAGTCCAAGGATCAATGCCCTACCCTCCTCTTCGTCAATGACGTGGCCGGAAATGAGTCATAAAAGTAATCCGGGTTCTTTATTGCCACACCTTGTAAGATGATGAGGGAGCTGTNCATTACAAGTAAGATTCTGGAACGAATTATGCTCATTAAGCGAGGTACCACTGTATATTAAACTGTGTTGAATGACTGTGTTATGTATATATCATATTTGTTTACCTTAACTTATTCCAATGATTAATTTGAACATTTGTTCTGATTACTGATATATGACTCATTCTATATCCAATGGTTTGTGAATTTATTTCTTAACCTGTATCTGGATCTGCTTGAATTTAAAACAAATTGAACTGAATTGTTCCTGCAAGGCAAGGTGTCAGACTACTACGGGTATCAGCTTATTAGCTGTAAAAGTTGTAGAAACTCTGATAAAATTTATGTAGTAACCAGCAACACAGTCTTAAATTCTGTGGAAAAGAATGATGTTATTGGATGTAACTATTTCACTGTATCATTATCTACTGGATTACTGTAATAAGATAATGTATTTATCTTTTACAACGGAAAGTAACGATGTTATTTCTATATCAGCAATTAAGATCCTGCATCCCTAAAACTGCATCTCCATTATTCTCAATACATGAACACATACCAACAAAGTTAAACCTAATTTCATTGGTGACAATAATATACCATTCAATTTGTACCAGCTCTTACAGTTCAGTGTACTGGTATGCATATATCATGTACATCTACATTAAGTTGATGCAAGTTAAATTAATAACAATTCTGTTGCCTCTGTCACTTCTGTAAACAAACAATGAGGAACAGCCTTTTCTAGTTATATGTTTCGCATTAGGTTCATGGTTCAAAATAAGATGATGAGGGAGCTGCACTGTTCCCATACATGCCTTGCGTAACCATCCCACTGCTACACAACTTATTTGAATGTAATCAACTTTATTAATTTGAAATCTTAATTGTTTAAAATGAAATTCAATGAACAAGTGTAGTGAGACATATGCCAATTCTTGTATGTAAGAGTTAGCGTCTTCCCATGCTTACAGCAGAAACAGGAAGACACCCCTCAAAAGCTTACTAAGGGAACGTTACATTAAAGAGTAGCTAAAGAATTCTTTGTAAATTTAATACTTGGCAGTTTGTGCATGCCATAACTTAAAAAGAGTGAAGGGTTTATGATCCAAGCAACGCTCAAGCATTTGTAAATTTCTGTCAGAAATATGTTGGAGTCAGAAATCCTTAAACCCTTGTAAGCTTTAAACGGAGTGGATGAATACCTAATTAAGATACTCCTATTTTTCAAATATAACCAATCACTAAAATTTAAGGGTGTGACAGGGCAGACGCTGAGGAAACAAGAACTTGAAGGTCCGAGTGAAGAGTTGTCGAAGTCAGTCATACGCCGGGACTAGTAAGAACTAGACGTGAAAAGACACACACCGGGCTCCGCAGAAGGTAGACGAGAAAGTGTCAAAGTAATTTTGTAAAGTGTTAACCACTTAGACCAAACAAGTTTGATAATAATAAGTTTAAACCTGAAAAGTGGTTTAGTTACAAAGTTGTCTTGACAAGTATTCAAATTGTAAAGTGTTAAACGGTGACTGAAAAGTTTTGAATAACAATACCTCTAAATGTGAATGTGTTTGGTAGTCTGTTTTTTTTCTACTTCTTTGAGTGTGGCCCGTATAAGGCTCTGAGATAAGAGAACCCAGCTCTACCGAACCCAAAAACCTCACCCTTTTAGAAACCAACTAATCCCGAGAAATTTAAACAACGAACCCTGAGAAGAAGGAGAAGGAGAAGGAGGAGAAGAAGGAGAAGTAGGAGGAGAAGGCGGAGGAGGAGGAGGAGGAGCAGAAGAAGAGGAAGAAGAAGAAGAAGAAAGGAGAACTGTTACACTTGAAAAGTTAATACGGCTGAAAAACTTATTTCTGACTGAACTGACACACTACAGCATAAGTATAAGGGAGAAGTGAAAGTTCTTGAGATGGCACACAAAGAAAATTAATATCCTAAATGTC